ACCAAGATTATTTTAATCACAAGCGTGCAGCTGAAACGTGTGGCTGTGGAAATCTGTAAGTAGAACAGTGACTGAGCCAGGCTGCCCTTTGTGCTCAGTTCTCTGAGTTTATGTGCCTTGCTGAACTACTTTGTGTAGCTGCAGCCACCAAATGTGTCAGAGTTTGAAGGAAATCTTAGGTAATTGAAAATACCTCCATGTCATCTCTCCTTCGTTAATTCTGATTTTCTGAAAGCATTGCTTGCTTTTCCTTAGGTGTTCGACCTTGACATTCATTAAACTCTTGAAAATATAATAAGGGGTTTAGGAGGCTTGAATATTTTAATTTTGCTGTTTAATAAAACTAAGTGTATCTTTTGTAATTCTAACTGAATTAATAGCTGTTGTATTCTTCACCTCATTTTCAAGCCACATATGCTGCTAAATTCTAAAATACTTTCTTCCAAAAAAATACACTTATAAACGTAGTTGAAATACTAATCTTTTTGAAACCTGTTAAAACAGAGAGTTGTATAAAATCTGTAATGGTTTATATAGATCTTTCAAATAGGAACACAATTTACTTTTTGCAAAATTCATCTATTATTTACATACACAAGTTACTAATATTAATGTATATATACAAGATTCCTTATACAGGTCTGAACACCTTCGTGGAAATCTCCTTAAAGAGTTAGTGTTCTAGTTTAGTCCAACACAGGTTGTCCCAGAACTTCCTAATTTGTTTTCACGGATAAACAAGAGCGAAATACTTCTGAAAAGTAACTTCTCGTTTTCACAACCAGAAGCAAGACTTCTCATTTTTTGACCAGGAGGAAAGAGGCAGGATTAGTAGCTGTAGAGTTGAGCATTTCGTGATCTGCAACTGATATTCTGGAGCAACATCATAGAGAAATCCATTCATTTAAACAGTCAAACCACAAACTTCTTCCTTGAGTAACTTGAGTGGGGAGTGAGAGTAGATAATCTCTCCTGTGTATATTGTCCAAGTTTTATGTCTGAAGTGCTTTCCGTGTTTAGGCTTGAATCTCCGTGAATCTTTCTGCAAATGAGTTGGAATACAGCCTTACGGACGCTTCTGGACATCAGGAAATACATGACTGGGTCTAGGCAGCTGTTAAATGATGAAAATATGAGCATCACCTCGTTGCATTTGTGAATGATCTGCTTCCAATAACAGGAGGGGTTTTGTAGCTGTGATGTAATGTAGGCAAACCGGAAGATGTGATAAGGAACAAAACAGACGGTGAAAATGATGAGTACAATGAAGGAATTTCTTGCTGTCTTGGTGTATTTTCCTGCGTTGGGAAAATTTGATCTTCTCCTCGAAATTTTCAGGAGGCTCTTGCCGATTTTGAGGTACGAAAGGATCAAGAGGAAAAAGACTATCCAAAAAATTAGTACCGTGATATAATTTAAAATCGCTTCTGTCTTTGCTTTCCGTTTACTTCGGTAATGGAAGCACAGAGTAGAATTGCTGTCCTCACTCTTAAAGAAAGATGGTGCAACTACTACTGTAAACCCTGATAGTGCAATTGCCCACACGACACAACAAATCTGAATACTTCGTGTCGGAGTTAACATTTTAGGACGCTTCACAGACCGAGTTATTTTTATGTAACGATCTAGACTAATTAGTCCCAGCAGTACTATGCTAATGTACATGTTCATGTAAAACAGAGTTCCTACAATCTTGCATAAAATCCGTCCAAACATCCAAATATTTTTGTTAGCGTGATGGAGTATTCGGAAGGGAAGACAGAAGATCAGCAGAAGGTCTGCAACAGCCACGTTTAGCAAGTAAACTTGGATAGAATTCCTTTTCTGATGAATGCACAGGAAGGCAAACAGGGCTATAATATTTCCAGCCAATCCAACAACAAAAATTATGGAATAAAAAACTATCAAAGTGAGTGACAGCGAGTTGTCGTCTAAGGGACAACTGTCATTGTTTTGAATTTCTGAGGCATTTATGGCCATGTTGGTTTGGTTGCTCCAGAAGTTTTTGTGTGTCAGTGAATCAGCTGAAGCTGCAGCCATGATTTATGAGGGTTTTTTCAGCTGTTGTGTAAAGAAACAAAGAGAAAGTTTGAGAATTAGGTCTCCATTAGATCATCTTCTCATGTCTGTTTGCTTCATTGCATACAGTCTAATGTGATATAAACATAAAAGGCAGTAACTAAAGGAAGTAAATATACCAAAGTGCTGCTGTAGCTGAGTAGAAGGACTTGCAGCCAGATATCATTATAAATGTCAGTCTAGAATAATCTGTAGGCAAGAACAGAGGATATAGAGTACTCAAACAGATAACTGGTGTTGTAATTGCATCTTCATTACTGTCTTGTATTGTTTTAAAAATCAACTATTAAGTTTTGCTGCAAACTCAAGAAATCTTTTTTGTTGTTGTTTTTGTTTTAGCTATAAGTACAAATAGGGATTTTTAAAGTTTAGTTTTTTAGGATTAGTCTTTCTAAGAAAACTTTTTAAGATGCAAGGACAGGTAAGCATAGCTAAGTGAAGTATTCTCGGTATCGATACAAAGTACATAGAAATATATTAAAACAAGTCTAAACTCACTGTTGTTAGTTTTAAATAAGTACCAGGATCTCTCACGTGCAAGTCAGCAGTTTTCAGTTAGAAAAGCAGTTGTGAATTAATATTTCTTTGGCTATGTAACCTGTTAGAACACTGTGAACCAGTACTATTACAGTAGCTTGTCTTTAATTATCTGTGTCTTCATATAAGTTTAGTTGTTTTTTTTTTCCTTTCCTTGACTGTTCACAAATCAATATTACACAAATAAAATAGTATTAGCTGGGAATTGCATTAATGCAATAACAGATTGTTTTAAAATCTTGTTTTCCTTGTTTTCATTTCAAAGTTTTTAATTTCAATAAGCTTATTGCTGACCAGGAGGGTACAATCTGGAAGATAAAAGTCAGTTTTGACCAAGGAAGGAAAACCAAAAAAGGCTGTGGTTAGAACAGAATGACACTAAGCCGTTTAGAGAGATGGTTAAGACTGATTTGTAATTATACAACTTCTTTTTTTTTTCAACTTGTTTGTCATAGCAACAAGAGATTCCATTTAAAACTTTCTTTAGAATTTTATTTCTTAGAGAGGAAAAGTTTTTTTCCCTAATCTCACAAAAATTTCAGAAGTGGTTTTGGTTCTCTGAACTTTGTTGTCTGGCAACTGTTTAAAAAAAAAAAAAAAAAACAACAAACCAAACCAAACCGACAGCTGCTGTATATATATATAACCTGAAAATAGGTTTTAGGCTAAATCTATGTCTAGGCTATGCAATTTGCATGCTAGTGTGTGATACAGCTACAGCAGGGAAAAAATGGCAACACTTTAGGTAAAATTCTTATGAAGATCTAATTTGCATACAGGATCTGAACCACTGAGAGGACAGTCTAAAATATTTTAACATCCCATGTTGTCTGCCCATACAATTGCAATAAACTTGCAGAGTATGTTAGCAGTTTCAAAAACAGCTGTTGTCATATTTGCCATTTGATATTATCAGGGCAAGAAGTTATTTTAAAAGGCCGATTTAAAAACACAATGCTTTCAAATACATCTTGAAGCCTCTCTGCTGCTATGATTTCTTGTTTGTTGCTTTCCTGTAAAAATGCTTGGCATCGTGATTTGCATAAGCAGTGATGAGTTTAGATCAACAAGAAAGAGAGAAGCATTGATTACATTGCAGATGCATTGGAGACATAACTTTTCACCCTCATGAGTTGTGTCACCCATAAGCAAGCAGCATGTTCTACAAACGTAGCTATACTTAAGAAAGGGCTTGAGGGTCAGTGGCACCTTTGCAGTTAAGAGAAACTTCAATAGAAATTTGTTTTTACTGCAGCTTAAGTACAAAAGAAGCCACTTACCATTTATGTGTTAACAAGAACTTCTGCTGATCTTCAAAACCGCTGGTGAAGACAGGGAGGAGTAACATGCAGGTCCTCTTATTAGAAAGCTTCTCTCTGAAAGTGATGAGCATCAGCTGACACGGTACAATTGGCAACAAGGGGAAGTTTAACTGGTGTTGCAAGTAGGGTGGGTTTTGTTTTGTTTTGTTTTTTTAAAGACATTTTTAACTGGCAAAATTTGGTTTATCTGGGCTTTGCTGGGAGAGGTTCTATAATAAATTTTTCTCAGAGTTTCACTCTGAATTGGAGATCTTAATTTTTTCCTCAGGAACTTTGTGTCTGGTGAGCACTGTCGGTGGCTTTTTGGGTGATAATGATGTTGGTACAGCCTGCTGTCTCAGCACTGCCACGGAAACAGTGTCACTTTTTCAAGTGTAGGGTAAAGACAGATCAACACCACAGTGAAATGGTACATTTTGCTTTTGTTGGTGTAGTTCTCCCATCTACCTTGTTCCTTGCCTAGAGCTGGAAATTTGAGGTTGTTCTTTTTGACTGAAAATGACAGCAGTGAGAGGTTGTTAAAGTGCCCAGAATGTGCAGCTTAACCATTTCAGTAAGGCAGAAGTGAAATACAATGCACAGCAATAATACCACCTGGTAATACTGTTTTAAACAGGGTGTAAGGAATTGAAAATTACATTTATAAACTGGACATTTAAAAGTGGCTTCTAGAAGACCTGGCGTAGGGAAGCCGAAATGTAATGAAGATCTCAAGAGCATTGTCTCAGAGGTGTTTGTTCTCATGCAATTGCAACTTTTTTAAGAGAAGACGTGGGTGGTTACAGATGATGACTTTACAGGTAGTCAGATTGAAATTCTCATACCTCCTGTGCACTGAATTCCTCGTTTTGTAATTTAAGCAGTAACATAGTCTGAGGAAGTAGTATACAAATATGACATTCTTCCTTTTAAAGACTACGGTATTTATTTATTTAAAAGAGAGGTTTTAAGTAAACGCAGGAAGTTGTTCTATATTAAATGCAATAGTTTGGATCCATGTATTAACTGTTTTCTGATAGATTCTGTACGCATGTTGCTTCCTTCTACACCAGTCAGTATCTATCCAGATTGTTGTATAATATTATTTCATTTTTATATGTTACACCTCACTCTTATTTGTGGAAAATCAAAGGTATAGGTGACTGTGCCTGGAATACAGTTTAGAAACCTAAACAATATCCTTCACTAGAATATGTATTAGAAACATCACAGGGATGTTCCTTTTCTTTCCTGCATTTGAGAAGTGATCACTGAATTCTGTGATTAAGGCTCAAAATAGTGGTTTCTGTTCTCTGTGAAGGATAAAATCCCACAAAGTCTATCATAGTCAGGATATTTCTGCTGGAGAATTGAAACAGTGTAAGGCTTAAGGGGGAAGGTGAAAAGAAAAAGTAATACCAGGTAAGAAATTATAGGCATGACATTTTATCTCCACTTTAGTATGATTTCACTTTGTGTTCCTCCCAAGGTCTGTAATTCCTGAAAGCGTTTTGCTGTGCCTGGGACAAGAGAAAGGAAACCAATGCAGAAAGAGGAGTTCATGGCAGAGAGGGAAAAAAAAAAATCCGAAATCAAAACATGATTTAAAACAAACAAACAAACAGCACAAACTTCTAGCTTATGTTTGCAAATTTATGAAAATAAGTTCTAAAATACAAATTCTATTTCTCAAACAGTATAATAATTTGTCTGGATTTTTTTTCTTTTCAGCCACACTGTGTACTGCTTGCCTCAAAAGAGAATTCAGCCCCGGTAAAGCTTGGTGGCTTTGGGGTAGCAATTCAATTAGGAGAGTCTGGGCTAGTTGCTGGAGGTAAGAAATTTTCCTTCAAAGTTATTTAGTGCTATGCATGTTGTACTGCAGAGTTCTGTTCTTCTGACACAGCCTGGCCTGCAAAACAAGAGCTCAAAAATAACCTGTCACTGAAAACTCTGTTAGCATAATAAATGCCCACAGTTTAGCTAAACTGCTGGTAGAATGTAACCATTAAATGTGCATTTGGGTACTGAGTGCTCAATCCCTCTAAATGTTACTCAACATGAGCTTATGCTGGTTTGATCATAAGAAAACTGGGAAAAAAAAAAAAAAAAAAAGAATTTTCCACTTTAATACAATCTTTGGCTTAATTCTTCTGTGCCTGATAAAGCAAAGCAAATAAAAATGCTGTCAGGGTTGAAATGTCTCTCAAAGCAGTTGAGTAAGGACTTAGTGCAGCATCGTCAGTGCCCCCCTATGTTTCCTAGGCAATTCCTGTCAGAATGCTGCAGCTGTTTAATAGCAAAATCTTACCAGTTTTCACATGTGACTCTTTTCTGTGTGTTAATATTTCATTGTAATTATTGCATAAGACATCAATATCTTGAGACGTATGTATATTTTTTGACTAAGTGTGTTTTGTTTTCTGTGGATTTTATTTCCTCTAGCTGCCTTCCATATTGTTCCAGACAATAGGGTTATGCTTTAATCAGCCTGCACAGATGAAGACCCAATCAATTTTCTGATGCTTTCATTGCCAGAGTAGGAGACCACAACAAAAAAAAAAATTGTTAGTTTTAATATTTTTTCTTCAAAATGAGTAACTTCCTATCAGTACTATGCTTCTTCGAAAATTCAGATTTGCTAATGCAGTTACTTAAAGTTCTGTGTCAATTTGGCTTTTATATGCTTTTTTTATTAAAAAAATAAAGTAAATCCAATATAAACATACCAACAGCTTCAATTCCCTTCCAGATGTCTCTGATACCCTGGAAATATCCAAGTGTCTAATTACTTAGAGACATCTTTTCAAAGAAAATACCCATTCAGTTAAGCTACTGTTGTTTCTTTAATAAAAAGGTCACTCTTTTCTTTACTTCTCTTGTGCTACTCAAATTATCTGTACCTCAGCCACTGCTTTTTTAAGTGATAGTTTCGACACTTTTGTTTAAGATTCTCTCATTTTTCTTCTTTATGTTCTCACTGAGCAACTTTATCCATTTCTTCTGTTTCAGCTACTCTTCTGGAGGTAGTGAGATAGTTGTCTTGCAAGAAACATGAAGTTCAACTTTGTAAAAAGATTACTGCATTTTCCCCCTGTTTTTCTCTGTATCTTTTGCCTCTTCCGTCTCAACTTATGCCATATTGGTCTGCCTTTACGCACCTTTTTCCTCCCTCTCTCAACTGTCATTTCCAATTTGCACTCTTTCATTAGCCCTTCTTACTTTCAGCTTCAAATTTCACTCGCTTTCAGGGATATACAGAGTAATTCTTTTTCATTTATGTACCATGGAAGGTCTCAGTTCTTTTGCTTGTTTCAAGTTTTCTCTTTAACAGACTCTTTCTCTCTTTCTTCTCACCTTCCATTCCAGTCTTTATACCACATCTGTTATCTGGCAGTTCTTTTCCCTGCCACAATCCTACCTGTAGGCACATTACAAGGCAGTCCCCTATAGAGCACTGGCAAGATTTCATTTCTTCAGCTTTACAGTATCACCCATATTTGTTATAGGAAAGTTAGCAATACTGACTGACTGAACTGGGCTGTACATTTCTTACAAAACAGTGTTGGTCTACACATTTATCTAAGAATGTTATCAATATGCCCTGTGGAAAAATTTTGTCGTAATAGTAACTAACACTTCTTTTTCTCAATTGTCTCGGAAGTGAAATAGGAACTCTCCATATAGAGAAGTTTGGGCAGTATCATAACCAACCTATCCACTTTCACATTGCTTTTCTAATTTTTAGTGACAAACATTGATTCAGCTTAACATACTCAGTTATTCCCCTTTTGGCATGGCAGCTCCTGTGTTTGGCGGTTCACACACCAGAAAAGAGATTCTCTATTAAGTAAAAGTGATTATGGCACTAAGGTTCTTTTGCTGACCTAAAACCTCCTGTGCTTCATTTGTGCTGTTTTTTTACCTTGGTGCATTGACGCACCTGTGCCTGGCCAGGCCAGATTCTGGGTAGCCCCAGGAGAACAAACTGAAGGGAATTTTCTCCCTCACCATCTTTGAAGCCATCCTTCAAGCACACGGCTTTTGCTTTGTTTGGGACTGCAAATTTTTTTTAACTTAACAAAAGACGTCTTTTTTCCAGTGTGCTGAAATTGTTGGGGATGTGGGGAAGGACTTCTGTAGTAAAGTTAAACTCAGCCCTGGGTATTAAAGGTAGATGAATCCCAATCTTTTGATGAAAGTCCAAAGATAGACTTGTGTGGTTGAGAAGGATTGTAACTATAATGTTCTTTCAAGCAGGTAGTTGGTTATTTAACAAAAGTGTAAGGGAGTTCATGACAACAAGCTATGACATCACACTAAGATGTCATTAGTGGAAATGTCTATGGAACAGATTTTAGGATCATGACTGTATTTTATCAGCTAACAACCCCAGTTGAGTTTATTATTATCAAATTTTAATTATTATTAAATAAGTACCCAAAAAAAGGACATAGCCATAACTCCTTTTTAATAAGACCAGAAGGAAAAATGTGAGGAAATACTCTTTGTTCCACTCTGTTTGCCCATAAGCTGCAATGCTGTGAATAAGAAGCCTGTGTTACAGGAAATTGTTTTCATGAGCTGCCAGTCTCTGAAGGTCTGTTCTTGCACTTCTTATGATCAGAAGTGGAAAGCTGTGCTAGGTGCTTCACCTGAAGCATCGAAGCAGGTAGTTTGATGTGGAATTCTTGCAGTATACACAGTAGTAACAGATCATCATGATTTATAAGGGAACTCTTTTATGGAACAGCACATAGACAGGAAACAGTCTTGTGTTTCTGGTTATGATGCAGTTAGAGTAGTGGAACCTCAGGGAAGTCAGTGATTTAATAGAGCAATCTCACATTACGATCTCTGTCTTCTTCCTTGGACAATTTTTCTTGCAGAACATGGTATGAACTGCCACAATATTTTCTTAAATAAATGTGACATAAGATTAATCTCATATCAAATATCTTAGACGTTAGGTCTTGGGATTTTTAGCTCATATGTGGCACAAAAGTCAGAAGGAACAAAACCCATTGAGTTCACAAGTGCTGTTTCCTCCACTTAAACTACTTAAGTTCTCTTGGTTTCAACTAG